TTCCCATTATGAGAAATCTACATAGAACGTTTACGGTATAAATAACATTAATAACATATATGTTTATTCCATTTTTATAGGTTTGGAGTGGAAGGCTTGTTAATGAAGAAATGAAGTGTCTTTCACATGGTTTGAACCAGATTGTGAGACGATACAAAGGTTTCATCATCAATGGATTTAGATTTCACACTAAATTCAGTGAAAGATTTAGAAATATACAAAATTCAAGAGTTGTTATGACTTCATCAACTACTAGCTATGCTAGTGTTAGAGACACAAACCATTTATAAGGAAATGTTGACTATTATGGAATGATTAATGACATCATTGAGTTGGATTATTATGGCAAGTGGAAAGTTATTTTATTTCGGTGTGATTGGGCTATGTGAATAGTGCGATGAATTTACACTTGTGAATTTTTCTCGATTAATTCATGCTGGACAATAACTCATCGATGAACCTTATGTTTTTTCATCTCAAGTCAAACAAGTATTTTACTCTAAAGATCCCAAAGAATTGGGTTGGTTTGTTGTTTTTTGAAACACACCTAAAAACTTATTTGATATGGGGTTAAATACCAGAGATGATGTTAAACATGGAACTAAATGTTATCCTTTTACTGAATAAAACTTGGATGAAAATATCTCTAGTACCTATGCTCAGTAGGTCTACGAAGATGTTACTAAAGACATTTATGAACCATGAAATAGTGCATCTATAATTTGTAATTCGAGTGTTTAAGACATAATGTAGTAAATGATTATGTAATTAATGTCACATTCGCTATTATATAATTATTGTATTCTAAATCATACATTATCTTTTGATTTAATTAAATCGATATGTTTTTTATATATCATAGGTTTTGATTTCTTAACTTATCAATGGCTTTATATATGTTTTAAACTAATATGTTTTCTATATTCACTTTTATGATGTAGGTAAAGTATAATGTAGATGAGTAGGTTGAAAGAAAAACATATCAAAGATATTAGTTCAGAACTGTCTACAGCACCTGTAAATATTGACTATGGACTGAATCCTTTAGAAGGAAATGAATGTACTATTGGATCTAACTCTGTTATTTCTAACCCTTCAATTGATATTAGATCTGGTAATATGGGAGGTCTAGGTTTAGATAGTACCCCATCAATTGATTATATTTTAAATTTGAATGCAGGTATGATATACTCCAATTTTAGAATTCGAGTATAATAATAAAAGTATTGTGATTTTACAAATTTATTTTTTATTTGTTGCAATTGATAACAATGGTCAACGGAGGACTAAAGGCCAGACAACTTTGAAGAAATTGTTTGTACTACCTCCTAACGAGCGTATTGTAGTGTCTACAAACTCTAATAGGTAACCAATTGGTAAAGAGGCTCAACTGTTGGCTGGATTTCTTGGTATGCTAGCCCATAATGGAATAAAATTGCCTATTCATTATGAAACATGGCATAAAGTTCTACAATAAGTTAAGGCCGATGCTTTAAACTTTATTGAAGTATTAGTATAATTAATTAGAAATAAAAAATTTTGTATTTTACATTTTGTTTACTTATTCAAACTTTTCTTATGTATTATTACAATCAAGATTTGTACTTGAAATACCAATTTCATTTGTGCTTAAATCATTGGGAAAAAATAGAAAGATTATAAGCATAGTTTGAAGAATAAGTATTTCGATCAAAATACTTCGTAGAAGTGATGATGAAAAATCTACCCTGTAATGTGATTAGATGGCAATATGAACAATTAGTTAGATTTTAGTTCTCAAGAAAATGAGAGGTACGAGCTCGACAAACTTTGTATAGTAAAATGAAATGATGAAAGTATTTTATGGTTTAAGTTGCTAATATATGTATTTTTATCATATATGCAATTATTTTTTATGACAAGAAAGAGAATAGATTATGATTGGTAGTAGAAAGCAACAAAAATATAGCCACACAAGTGGATCGAAAAGTTTTGCAAGAAAGCAAAAAGAAATAGTAAGTTTATGATAATAAACTTATTCCAATGAATGAACTTTTTTTGCCGTTAAGAGGTAAATATGCAAATTAACAGTTATTGTTCTATTTTAAAAGTTTTGATAGTTTCAATACATGATAGAACAATAACTATTAATTTGCATAAAACTATTATGATATGTATGAAAAAGTTATTGTTTATGTATGCTTAGGTAAAAATACAAATTTGTTATTATTTTTATATTTTAACAGTTTGGATAGCTTCAATACTTGATATTAAACTTGTTCGATTGATTGAACTTTCTTTCTACAGTTGATATGAGAGAAAAAGTTATCGTTTATGTCTATTTGTGACTATTTTTGCATATAAAAGGCAAATATACAAATTAAACTTTTGGATGGCTTTCAACATACTAAATGGCTTCAATCCTTGATATTAAACCGAGAGAAAATAATTGAATTTGATTTTCATGATCGATATGTATGAAGCCCAAAATGCTTTTATTGTTTGCGTATGTTTAAGACTATTGTGTTGTTCTAGGGTCAAAATATAAATACATTAGATTAAAATTATTCGAAATGTTAATACTTGATCGATAGGCTTGATATGCATGAATAAGTTGCGGTTGATATGTATCCTATCAAATAACATATGTTTTTGTATAGGAGAATGAGATGGGTGATACAATTAGACGTGTAGAACTTTTTCACATAACACACACAAAAAAAGACAGATCTTGCATGAATATCGAAACATAAGAAATTGTGGTAATTTGTATCATCTATTTTAATAGAAAGTAAATATTTACTCTTTTTAACATATTATTAATTAATCATTAAACTTGATAGTTGTATATGACAAATTTACTAGAGAAAGCGAAAGAGAAAATGGCTACTGAGATTGATGTAGCATCTGATGGTTCTCTCAACATGCAAGAAATGAAAAATCGGATATTCATAGAAGTTGCTGAAAAAGAAAGGCATGGACGGGTCCCAGGCCTTGAATTAGGTCTAACACCATCTGCCTAATATGGACATAGCTCTCAACAATTTATATCCTTAGCAAGTCAATCTTTGCGAGACATTTTAATATTGAGAGGGGAGTTACAAACTATGCAACAATATTTTCAGCAAATGGAAGCAGAAAGAGAACAGAAGCGTGCCAAAATTGAAGAAAAACGTGCTAAAATGGAGCAAGAGCATGTAAAATTTTAGCAGTTGCCTAATCGATTCGATCATTTTATGAATTTTGTACAACAACAATTTTCAGTAAATGATCTTGGTGCTCCACTAACTCAGGTATTATATTTAGTAAATATTTAAATTTTTAAATATAAAAAAAGTGTTAAAAATTTTATGGTATTATTTAGTAGGTTCTTGAATACGCTAGTGACCAAGGTAAAAAATTTTCTTCATCAATTGGCAGCCAGCAAAATGTATGCAGTCATCTATTTCATACATTTTAATTTTTATTTTCTTAATGTATTAAAAATATTTGAATGTTATTATACTAATTATTAAACTTTATATTAATTAAATGCATACTTAAATGTGAATTAACTTTATATTAATTTCAGTTTCTGAATTTAAGCTCTTTAATGAAATTAAAATTATTAACAGAAATTAAAAAATATATATTTTTACATAATAATGACGTTTGTGTTCAACAATGTCACTAAATGAATAATTTAATGGTATTTGTATCATAAAACGTCACTAAAAGTAACGGTGCTCTTACCAGCAAACGCTGCTAGTAAGTAACGTTTTTTATACAAACATCACCGAAACAACGGCGTTTTTACCATAAAAATACCACTAAATTAGCAACGTCTCAAATATAAAACGCCGCTAATATAAGACGTTTTCATATACAAACACCTCTAAAGTAACGGTATTTTCAGTTACAAATGCTACTAAAGCAACGGTATTTTTCTCATAAAAATGTCACTAAATTAGTGGCGTTTCAAAGATACAGACACCGCTAATATAAAGGCATTTTCAAATATAAATGCTTCTAAAGTAGCGGCATTTTTAGTTATAAACGCCACTAAAGCAACGGTATTTTTTTCATAAAAATACCACTAAATTAGTTGCATCTCAAAGATACAAATATTGCTAATATAGAGGTATTTTTAGATATAAACGCCTATACAATAACGGCGTTTTCAGTTACAAACATACCAAAGCAATGGCATTTTTCTCATAAAAAACGCAACTAATTTAGCGGCGTTTCAAATATAGAAACACCGCTAAAATGACGGTGTTTTTTTAAAAACGTCACTATTTTTCACAACCAGTGTATAGCCGACACTTTGAGTGATGTTTTTCGCAAACACTACAAATCTTTTAGTGACGTTTATAAATGCCGTTAAACGTTAAAAAAAATGCTGCTAAAAACCCAAACGTCTGTAGTGGTTTCAGCTGCGGGCTTTAATTTACGTTACGGAACTCATAAATATAGGTTTCATTCCTTTTGACTTTATAAAGTTTAATTTATTAATCAATGTCCTAATTAAAAACGCTTATTAAAGTTTACCATTCAAAGAAATATCTCTATTGAAGCATTGAAAATATCATCATAATCATATTATCTATCATCAAGCAGTACTGTGTTGCACTTATTTTCAAACTGTTTTAAATATAACCTCTAACAAATATATTGTAAAATACTACAACTAATTATATATATAAATATATTTCTTTTTATTTTATTGAAGGGGGTGGGGGATAAATTTGCAAGCCAAGTCCTTAAATTAGTCTTTGAACGCTAACCCTTTCATCTGTTAGACGAGTACGCTTGATTTCAACCTTCAATTATGAACTTGAATACCCATTTTAATGCCAGCCATAGACCAAATGAAATTTCATAATCGTACGCCCAAATTGAACAAATGAAGTATGCACAAGTCTACTGAGCCAAGTATAATCAGCACTCCAATTAAGTTACACATATTTCAGACTATAATTAATATGATAAATCCTTTAGATTGGTTTCGTTGAACAAAAAAAATCCAAATCATTATTGTTTCAAAATTGGGAATTTGATTCTATTGATCCCATAGGTTGTATCTCGATATCTGTTTGATGCCTGCAGGGAGAGTTGGCACAGCTTCCTGGAGATTTAGCACCATTATTTCTGTCAGTCAGCATCTGAAAATATGCGTGAGGTGCCCAACCTGCATGTTTGAAGTAGTAATACTGATCATCTGCAAACTACTTTTCAAACAATAACTAGTTACATATACAAGCATTCAATTTGTCCTTCCCAATTCAACAGAAGATTATGCAATGTAGCTACCTTGCTTTAGCACATGCATCTTGCAATTTGAATTGGTACTGAAATTTTAGCTTATGTGATTGGCAAAGTTAAACCTTGCCAATTTTTAAACTAAAATCATTTTTAAACAACAAATGGATCTGAGAAAAATATCTTCAGCGACTGATTGAATCAGGATTAATGGCTGTGAGGGATGAAATAAAACAAACCCAACAAATTTAGGATTCAAATATTAACATCTGTAATTCCTTTTTCTATTATAAGGCTGCGGCTTTTTTTATACCAAGAAAAATAATAAGGTTAATGCAAGAAAAAGAAAATGATGCAAACTGATAAACACTACAGTCAACTCTATTTCTTTGGTTGTTCACCTACTAGCTAGGGCTACCACTCGCGCCCAAAGTGCAAAACCAGCAAGTAAAGAAAAATTGTAAATTTCTTCTCTACTCCATCCTATGTTTTTGTGTAAACCCATACAAGCAAAAACTTGCTTTATTATACTTATTTATTTTCTTGCAAGTCCAAAAATAATATCGCTTGGGTCATGTCTAGTCAATGATAAACTGTATTTATTCTCCAACTGAGAATTCAGATCTGAATAAAATTCCAAACACCTCTCTCAAAAATGCCTCTTCAATACATGAAAAAGTCGTGTGATTATTTTATATTACCAACGAAAGATGTATAACATATCCAAAGTTTTGATCTAGGTAATCTGTTTGATTTAGAATTATTAGACAAACCAAACCTGAAATTTGCAAAACATTCAACTGCCAACATGCAACTTGGATCATATCTTAAGTTTTAAAACACTCAATTGAAATGCTTTTCAGGCAGCAGATAAAAGAATTTATCGACAAAGCAGTTTTGTAAAAGGATAAGAGATATTAAAAGCACAATACAACCTGCAAGATATTTTCTTCAAAGTATCCAAAGTTAACATCGGAAAACGGAGAAGCATTAATAAACCTTCCAAGTATAAAGCCTGACAAAATTAGAGTTTTAAAATTCTATTCAACTCGTTACCTTGCAGGCGAAAGGAAGCATTTATATGCTTCCCCAGGGGACAAAATCGGCAGTCAAGGTTGATTTAGGAAGATAAATCAGTTAGAGAGATCACAGACACATTTATGTTTCGAATATACCTTTTATAGCAATATCAACCAGCACAATAAATTTATTATGTTTATTTGCGTTAATACAAACTTAGAGAGACACACCATCCTCATCACGTGGATAAGGGAAGAATTGCAAGTAACAGAATGCTGCCATGGTTGATCCTGCACCATAACAAAGAAACAAATTTTTATTATTTCAATTATAATCAGCTTCAATCTTGTTAGGCGTCAGTCTAGTTTATTGGAAATGAAACAAACCTATAAGAGCTCCAGTAAAAACATCCGTCCAATGATGCCAGTAGTCATCCACCCGAGAAACACCCACAAAAGCAGCAACCAGTACTGGAAAAAAGAGGATGCAGAGTTTCGCAACATGGCCTCTACGATCAAATGCTCTAATTTTACCTGACAAATACCATGAAAGGAAAGAAAGACCAGCAAACGACCCTGCATAATGATAACCATGGAATGTTATCTGGAAAATACAGCACGAAACCAAACAATAGCAATTAAAATTTAATGATCAATAATCAGGCAATTCTCCTAAATTCTCAAAATATAATAAAACAGGACAACATACTATATCCCTAAAATTGCTGAGAAATCCTGCAGGTCACTTGATCACTTTACACTAATTAAAAGGCCAGTTGCATGGAACCTAACATTAACGGAACCAGATAATTCCTTCAATATGATAAATTTATTGACGTCTACCCCTCTCCCCCTCCTCCAACTATTTCTATAAATCGCATCCCAATAAATATGTATAAAGAATTGGAAGTTCGAAACCCTACAATCAAACAGTGGACTGTCAAGTAAAAACTTTTATTGGATATCAGATGAATAAACTCAGATCATTTGTTTATCTCCAAAATATCTAGAACATTTAGAAGTGAAGCATGGTTCATAGTTGACAGATTCCAATAGCTCAAGGAAGACATTGTTATGTGTGCTAAAGTAGCGTTGTTGAAGCAGTATAATTAAAACTCTTTAACAATCTAAAAATACGAATTAAACTTACATGAAGTATGACCACTAGGAAAACTTTTGTATCCTTCCTTTATATCCTTTGCATTTCCGTGACAGATAACATCACCCGTAATTTTGTCAAAAACCTGTGCATACCAATGACAAACGGATTGAAAACCAGGCAATGGACGATACACAAGTAGTCAAGGACATGCCTTAGCTTAATATAAGTAATGGAAGAAATTGTCAATATGCCTCTTTCAGCGAAAGAATAAAGAAACGTTTTTATGTGTATAGCATGAGATAGAAATGAGAACACACCGCCTTTCCATCAGGGAAACAGCGCCAAAAGAAATTGGGTCTCGGCCTACCAACAACATCTTTGATAGAATCCGTTATAACTCCAGTTAGCAGAACAGAAAATAGAAGACCTAAGTAGCATGTTAAAGCATTTCAATAAGTAACCAAAAGCAATTTGTAGCACAACCTAGTTTCTGAAAAGCAAAAAAGAATGGTGGTTGGTGGAATAAGCACCTAGTATAGCATGGTGAAAATCATAAACATCCTTTCTGAAATAGTAATTTATGGAAAAAACAACTAAAGGCAGCAATACTGCAAGAAACTGTAACAGGGATTAGTAAATTTTTATGAATTTATTATTGGAGTAGAGATGATCTCAATTAATGATATAAATTTAAAAATCTTGAAGCTATAACACACATACTGGGACAGCCCAGAATGGAATAGTATCTTTATGGAAGGGGAATTTCAAATCTGTCATCATCTCTTTCCCGACAAAGCGGTGAAAGGGCTCTACAAAATTAAGAAGGCCATCAATCACCACAAGAAGCAGAAGAATTAGCCAGTCATATAAATATACTCTGGCCACCTGGACTCCATGAGATGTCAATGTATGGGCTTCAGGCAGGATATCTGTCATCTTTCCAACTGGACATAGACAAGAAGTCAAGACAAAGATCAACTATTAACCATGAACTTAAGAAAATAAGGACAAATAGATGAATTAAATGAAAATAGAACGGATTAATCTTTTCTTCTCAGCTACAGTCATGCTATCTTTTTCCTTCTAAATGCCCTCTTTCCAGCAACAGCCAACAGACATCTGAGAAAACTCTCCCGACCAGTAGGAACCAATGTCTATACACATACACACAACACACACACACACACACACACACACACACACACATATATATATATAAAGACTTTCATATCCATCTCCAAGGAAAAATGATTCAAACATAAAATCTGGAGACAACTTGCATTGGAATTTGGAACATATATAAATTGTTAGAAAAAATAACTAAACGAAGAGAAATAATAAAAAAGAATTTTAGTTTTGAGACATGAAGAATATTTTCTTAAAGTCAATTATACTTTTATGATACAACAAATCTTCAAACTTTTTAATTAGAAAAAGTGAAAATCACTATACCAAAATATTTATTTATAATGAATAAACAGATATAAACTTTATTCAAATGGTTATGACCATCTATATAATCATGACTTTTATGAATAATAATCTATTTATATTCAAATAATTATAACCATTTGTCATATGATAATTGTTTCTTTTCAAACGTAATTATTTAAAATATGAATAAAATTAATATAAAAATTAATTTTATTCATCAATAATTAAATCTTTCTATCCTATGTGATATGCACCACATTCTAAATTACTAATAACCTCCTAGTTTGGAATGTTGGTACTTGATTTTTAACCTTTCACACAAATATATATTATAAATATAAGAAAGTCTCTCGATTTAAACCTTTAATTAGTGTATATCTTAAAATTCTAACGAAATTGATGGTGTCCACAAATTAAACTTCAACTCCTAGTATTAGAATTGAAGATATAATACACAATATTTATTTATTCTTTTGTCGAAGGTTTATAACCACTTTTAGCACTATTATGACCATGTGCTGATCCTATTCATAAACATTTACAAGAAAGACCTAATTCTTCTTGTTGAAGCGATACCACTTCTATATTTATATAAGTAAAGTTTTAATTTTGTCTCCATTGTTTTAGACATTTAAAACTCTATTAAGAGTGAAAAAACTCATCCTCCCCATGCAATGGATCACGCTAGTTTCTAAAATTTGAATAGATTTTACTAGTGCTTAATAGACATATAACAATAACTTGTTTTTACCCATTAAACTTTGTAATTAGAGGTTACTAATTCAAAGTTGGGTTTCCATTATTGGTGTCTAATATTAACGGTTTAAATCCATTTTACTTGTAGCACTACTAACCAATTTCTTGGAATTCAATTTTCTTTTATGGTAATTACACCCACTTAAGAGTAAATCTCTAATATAATCACTTCAGACTAATATGTCCAAACTTTTCATTTTGCATATCATTTATATGTTTCAAACATTGTTGCCTCATTCTTATCATTTTAAGAAATAGTTGGTTTTAGTTGTAGCCATAACTCTATACTCATAAATTTCAACCATTCTATTTTCATACTTTTATGCATCTTTAATACAATTATATTTCTAGTATAATTGGATAAACTTAACGAATAAACCAAACCATTTTAGTCCTTTTAACATTTATAAGGATCTTTTTATGCTTTTATTTTAATAAGTGTCTAAACTTATTAGCTTGTATAATTTGCTCATAAAATTATACTGAAATCTTACATTACTATGGTGGTAATTTTTATTTCTTTTGATTCTTACCACCCCCACCATGTGCAAGTATGCATTCTTTTATTAAAGAATATCTCATTCAATTGTCAAGATATCATATATACTTAATCAAGTTACCATTTCATTTATCTTTTCACTATTTGGTGGGTTTTTTTTTTAATTAGAAGGCCTTCAAATCCACCCTTAGTAAAAGATAACTGACAAGTATTTTAATATTTCTATAAAAGTTTCCAAAACTTTTATATTTTAACTCAATATAAAAGTTTACATCAATGAGTAGATTTCAAATTTAATCACGCTTCTATAGTTTTTTTTTTTAACTTTTAATGTCAATTCATAAATACATATTACAAATCTATTTCATCATGGACACTATTAATAATTTTTATTACCATAAACAAAACCATTTCCATCACCCAAATGGATCAAATAGCATTCCTTTTGCTATTATAAAATTTTCATATTCACAAGATCTTTGAATTGTTCATGGCTTACAAAGTAAACATACTTTAAAATTTGCACTATATAAAACTATAGATGATAAATCATTTATACAATTCATGAATTAGACTATATACATAACAAAAAATTATCATAACATGATCAAGATTGTAGCATCAATTTTGGCTTATGGCTATTCTAAGCCAACCATAGTAATCACATCATACTTACAAATCATATAGATTTGGCTATTAAAATTATCTTATTTATGGTAATAGCTTTTAGTGAAAACCAACTATCTCAAATGTTATCATGAGTTTCCAATGCATATATTAATTACCCAATGGCTAATTCCAAGTTCATGACTATTGAAACCTCTAAACTTGATTTCAAAATTTTATATGAACTTTATTTCTCCACCATTATACAGTCTATATATCTCTATTATTTATCACTTTTAATTGGTCATAACATTTTTGGATATTTAATAAATTCAAACTTTATTCATAGGACCAATATGCCTATGTATAATAAGAGTCCATAGTATATTTAACTCCAATTTCAAATACTTTCATAATCATTTTGTGATCAATATGTTCATATATAGATCACCATATTAATGTAAGTCATGAAATATGAACCCAAAGAATCATTTTCATAAAATAGTATAAACAATAATTATAATATGAGTTCTACTCATATTTCATGTAAAAACTCATGATGAATTTACATTGGTTAAATCATTGATTGGCTAACTCTAAGGCTTATGGTTTTCACAAACCACTATTACTATCTAAGCTCATATGTTAATTTGGTGTATAACCAACCACATCCTTGCCATTGTTATGAAATTATTGAAAACCTTAGAAACTTGTTCACTTTTCATTTTAACAATTTGCAAAAAGGCCATTTTTTTTAGTACAAAAAGCAAAAATATCTTCATTGTCTTTAACCAGTAATGCATTAATTGGATGATGGAATTCTATCTCCATAGTCCATATCTTTCTTATATGTAAAAAAAGAAAATTCCATCCCATTTAGTTCATTTTCATAATATATGGCAAACTGTACCAATGTTTTACATGCTATCACAAAATGGAATTAAACACATGCATGTATTGGTCCTTTGGAACATTGAATTTGCATGTTCTTTTCTAAATTATAAACATGGCTAATTAGACATCAATGAGCATCTTCCAAAATGCTAGTAACCAACAAATGCTCCAATATTGTTTAATGACATGCCTTTTTTTTAATCAATATCCCATATGCAAAAAGCAACAATGCTTTTGTATAACCATTGATTAACTCTTTGATGGCTATTTATGATTTTCACTTTGTGATTGTTCACAATAAAATTTTATTTTGTAAAATCACTTCTAGTGTAATACGCCCAGTAAACAAAATATATGTTACACTGCCCATGTTTTTGATAATAACAATTATTTAGTTTATTATCCACCAATTAATCCATGAAACACCATATCTTAATAATAATTATTTACATACATCAATTTAATTTTAATTGGTTTTTATGAAAATTGAACACTAGTCAAAATGTGAACCAATAATAAATTATATATATACATATATATATTAACCTTTGATTTATAAATGACTAAAAAAAATAGAACCATACAAATAGTTTGACTCAACTTATTATCTCAATTTTTGGTGCCACGATTTAAAAATAAAAGTAATCTTATAGCAAAATTTTATTTTTTGCATATATTCTCCACTTACATTTAATTTTTCATGGTAAATTCCTTTACCCATTTTTAGTTATTTTCATAGAAACCATGGGATAATTTACCTATTCTATATATAATCAAGACATGATAATTAAACAATCGACCATTTCATTATAATCCAATTTAATTCGTTTCTTGATAACAAGTAATAATTTTTTTTTCGTCGATCACTTCATGTCTCTTTTTTTTTATGTTTTAGGCTATTTCCCATCCTAGTCTTTATAGGCATCAATTTTTCAAATAGATATAATACAATTTATTAAACCCAATTGTGCAACCAATTTCAGTATATGCATAAACTTATGCAATGTAATCAATATTTCACATATTGTGTTTTGACTTTACACACTAATGAAATTAATTATTAACGTGTTTATCTCATTCAACCAATCTTTTTTACTAACAATTATGCAAAAAATAAAATACATACTTCTAATGAAGATCTTTATGAAAATTAACATTTTGCTTCATGGAAATATTAATTCTTTGACACCTTGAGTGTCTTTTAATATTGATCTCCAAATCATGTCAATTTCTTTTTCTTATATTTTCCTTATGCTAAATATTAATTTCACATAATTTCCTTTAAATTGTTAGGAAAAAAACAAACAAGAGAAGAGAAATAATAGAAAAGAATTTTGATTTTGAAGCGTAAAAAATACTTTCTTAAAAATAATTATGCCTTTAGGATGCAATAAAAACTCAAACTTCCAATCAGAAGTAATGAAAATAGTTATATTGAAAGATTTATCTATAATAAATGAACAGACATAAATTGTATTCAGATGGTTATGACCTTTTGTATAATCTTGACCTTTATGAATAATAATATATTTATATTCAAATAGTTATGATCATTTATGACAACGGAGTGTCTACACAACATACAACTTGGGCTAAAACTAAGGCAGACTTATTTAAAAATAAAATGGATTTATCCTTGGTCCAAATCTAATAAATAAATACATAAATAAGGTGGACTATAATAGGGAAATTATGTTCATACTAGCTGAAAAAGAAGATCATGAATATGAATGGGATTGTAATCAGGTTC